GGGGGGAGAGAAGTGTCAGGTGCATCGTCAACGTCGCTGCTGGTCCCTCCGCTCTGGAGCTGCAGGATGAAACTTCCCCAGTTTGTGATCTGGAGGTAGAACTGGACCCCATGGGTGGAGCTGGATCCCGCCAGGATGCTGGGGAGTGTGTGGGGGAGCTGATGGAAGGGTGGGAATGAGGGGGTGTTCCCTTCCCCTCCCCCCCATCTCAGTGATTCCAATGGGATGTCACAGGCTGGGGAGGGGGATGAAGCCACCGCTGACATTCCAAGCATCTCCTGGATGAGAGGAACCATCTCCTTTGTGTTCCCCTGCCAAGAACCAGAGATGTTCCCCCCACCTCACATTGGCAGTTGGGACCCAAACCCCTCCTTTTTCCCTTTTTTCCCCCCATTTTCCTGCTTTCACCCCAAGATCCAGGTGAGGCTTGGGCACCCCATGGTCCCCACAGGAGGGACAATGAACCAGGGTGTCCCCATCCTGCTGTCCCACTTTCCATCTATCCATCCTGGGGTGGGGAGATGTTATCGTTGGAATAAATAAGGAAGATTCGGGAAGACAGGGGAGGAGGTTTGGTCACCTGGGGGCTCTTTGTCATTAAAGGTCACCCGTGTCAGATTGAAGCCATCATGGTCTCACCCTTCACCTCAGGATGTGATGGGGACAGGCAGCAGCATCCGAGGGGATCAACAGGAGCATCCAAGGGGAACCCACCACCCGTTGGCATCACAGGAGATGTGACGTCATGATGATGACACCGGTGGAAGGGAGGAAGCCTTTCCACTATGGGGGTGCAGTTATTCCCACCTGGATAACCCCACAGGGGATCTTATGGCAACATGAGGAGGGCGTGGAGCTCCTGGAGAGAGTCCAGAGGAGGCCACCAAGGTGATCTGAGGGCTGGAGCAGCTCTGCTCTGGAGCCAGGCTGGGAGAGTTGGGGTGTTCAGCCTGGAGAAGAGAAGGCTCCAGGGAGACCTGAGAGCAGCTTCCAGTGCCTGAAGGGGCTCCAGGAAAGCTGGGGAGGGGCTTGGGACAAGGGCAGGGAGGGATGGGAGCAGGGGGAAGGGTTTCCAGCTGGCAGAGGGAGCTGGAGCTGAGATGGGAGGGAGAAATTCTGGGCTGTGAGGGTGGGGAGAGCCTGGCCCAGGTTGCCCAGAGAAGCTGTGGCTGCCCCATCCCTGGCAGTGTTGAAGGGCAGGTTGGATGGGGCTTGGAGCAGCCTGGGCTGCTGGGAGGTGTCCCTGCTCATGCAGGGGGTTGGAACTGGATGATCTTGAAGGTCCTTTCCCACCCAAACCATGCAGTGACCCTAAGCCACCGAGGGGTGGGGGGATCCATCCCTCATACCACGGAGCACCAGGATGTGTCCCACCCCCTGGGTGCCACCGAGCAGAGGGACGGGGCCACACACACACACACACACAGTCAGTGTGAGCTACCCAGGGGCTGTTCCCAGCCTGGGTAAAGTCTCCTCGAGTGGGGGGCAGGTGAGAAGGGCAGGGAGGAGAGCGGGGTGCAGCACCCACGGGAGCCCCACGGGGCGCCCATACGGGCCGAAAACAACCCTGTTTGTTTAACAACGGCCCTGCTCGATCTGTATCACCCCCTCCCCCATCGCCGCGGTCTAAATTTTCCCCGTTTTCCCCCTAAAAAGTGTGTGTGGGGGGGATGCGCTCAAGCCCAACCCCCCCCTCCCGGCACCGCCCGCAGTTCCCGCCGGGCCCGGCAGGGGGCGCTGGCCGCGCGCGGGGG